CCCTACCCTCCCCCCTAGTGCCCACATGGCTTGCTCCCTACCCTCCTCATGCCTTTGCTTAGATGCCCCCTTCTTGGCGAGCTTATCCCGGCAGCCTCCTCTTCCCTACCACCAAGGACCCCTGCTGGAACCTGAAGCAATGCATCCTTATCGCCTCCCACACTCCTGCCTGTCCTCGGCCTGTCTTCCCTCAGCATGTGTGCCGTGGGTTTCCAGGGTGACTCTCAGGGCAAGTCTGTAGTCAACACTTGTCAATGACTGAATGAGGGATCTCAGGCCTACAGCAGCCACTCTGCAGCCTTTTAGGACAAAGATCCTTCCCACTGGGAAGACCTCAGGCCCCGGTGACATCTGCCCATTGGAGGGCATCGTCCTCTGAGTGCCCCTCCCTCCCACTCCCAGACAAGCCTGCAGCAGGGCCTTGTGTCCTCAGCACACCAAGGCCTCACTCCCCGGCCACACACCTGAAAGTCTTCCTCATCCAAAATCTCCTTCCTCCACTTGATCAAGAAGGCCGCACACACGTAGAGATGGAAGTGTGAGAACCCTTCTGGCTCAGACTGGGAAAGAAGAGAGGAGTCAGGCAGGGCTCTGAGCTCCACCCCCCCTTGGGCCTCTCACTTCCCAGCCACCATCTGCAGGGTGGAGAACCCAGCCCAGCGCCCACTATGTGACAAGAGCAAATGTTAAGGGACAGAGATGAAAAGAGCTGAGGCCACAGCAGACACAGAACTGAAGGTAGACCTCCATGAACTTGGCAGGGACAGTTGGGACACGAAGGGTCTCCCTACCTGGTACGTGTCCCACAGACGGATGGTGCAGCGCAGAGGGAGCTCCCGCATCAGGAGGTTGTTCATCCACCGAAAGGCAAACTGCAGGTACTCCACCTCGTACCTCCTGAAGTGACTGTGTACCTGCTCTGAAAGGGACACGAGTCAGGAGCCACCAGCAAGCCTCAGGGACAGGAGCAGGTTCTGTTTCTTACCAGCCCCTCCCTGGGCAGATTGTCCTTCGGGCCTATCATCTTAGTACGGCTCACATCAGCACACAGTATGACCACCCAGCCCCATCATCTCAGTACGGCTCACATCAGCACACAGTATGACCACCCAGCCCCATCATCTCAGTACGGCTCACATCAGCACACAGTATGACCACCCAGCCCCATCATCTCAGTACGGCTCACATCAGCACACAGTATGACCACCATCTCACCAGGCCATTCCTAAGTGCCCTCTGCCTTCCTGGGGCTGCTCTGGCCACAAAGCAAGAGACATCAGGTGAACTAGACTGCTGGACCTAATTACTCCTTAGGGCAGGGCCAGAATGGAAAGGAACCCTGGAGGCCATCTTGGCCATCTCCTTTTGGCTTCCCCAATAGATGGCCAGCAAAGGTGGAGACTCACCAGAAGACTTTTTTTTTTTTTTTTTTTTTCCAGATAGGTTTTCTCTGTGTAGCTTTGGAGCCTATCCTGGCACTCGCTCTGGAGACCAGGCTGGCCTGGAACTCACAGAGATCCTCCTGCCTCTGCCTCCCAAGTGCTGGGATTAAAGGTGTGTGCCACCACCACTTGACCCTGTGTTCTCATTTATAAAATGGGATAATGAGGGACCATCAGGATGACTCAATGATGAGGGACCATCAGGATGACTCAATGAGTAAAGGCATCCGCAGCTGGTGGGGTTTTGCTGCTGTTGTAGTCTTAAAGCTTCTATAATGAGAACATACCTAAGAAACAAGGATATGGTGCACATTCATTTAGTGTGTGTGTGTGTGTGTGTGTGTGTGGTCTTGTGGGGTCAGAGGACAGTTCTCTCTTACAATGAGAATCAGGTTGTCAGGCTTAGCAGAAAGTTTAACCAAACGAACTATCTTACTGGCCCAGTGGACACATTTTTAAAACCCCACTATTTTCAAGTCCCACGGCTTTATTTACCTGAGCCAGGGAAAAAAGATACACGGCAGCAGAAACCACTGATTCTGCCCTCCAGAATCTAATGGATGACAAGCCCTGGAAGCCATTATGTCCCCAAAAGAGGACAGCACGCACCCCATACAATGCTCAGGGAAGCAATGGGCCTCACCATGGAGGATGGGTCTCACCATGGAGGGATGGGTCTCACCATGGAGGGATGAGTCTCACCATGGAGGATGAGTCTCACCATGGAGGATGAGTCTCACCATGGAGGGATGGGCCTCGCCGTGGAGGCTAGCAGCTGGGGCAGAGCAGTGAGACTCAAAGGAACACTACTGTGAGAGACACATGAAGGTGAGCACAAGCCCCTAGGTCATGGGAAGACAGACAAACCAAGAATGTTCCCATGACAAGAGAGCCCGGGAAAGGAGTGAGAGAGATGCAGAGCCATACAGTGAAGGAGGGGAGGGCTCTGCTGGGTGGGGCGGAAGGTCTGGCAGGAAAGAAGTTTGCAGCGACTGGCAGTCCTTAAGAAGCCACTATAGTCGGGCAGTGGTGGCTCACACCTTTAATCCCAGCACTCAGGGACGCAGAGGCAGGCGAATCTCTGTGAGTTCAAGGCCAGCCTGGTCTACAGAGTGAGTTCCAGGATAGCCAGGGCTACATAGAGAAACACTGCCTCGAAAAGCCAAAAAAAAAAGGAAAAGAAAAGAAAAGCAGCAGCAGCAGCAGCAGCAGCAAAAGCCACTATAAGCTCACTGGTCTAAGGGGTCTCAGGTCAGGTCACAGGTCCCCCTGCTAGGTTGACAACATAGAAAAGATCCATACCCCCACCCCCATCTCCGTATCCACCCCCCCAATCCCTGTCTGTCTGTCTGGCCACTCCTTTAAGCACTTGCTCCTCCCAGACATCTGCCTGGGGTGGGGCGGGAGTCATACTGAAGTTCCCAGTGGAGGATGGGAGGTCCCACTGAGGTGTCAGCCAGATTTGGGGAGCCTGTATCAAGCCTAGGATGCTGTCACCGTCACTGCATGACAGGAAAGGTCAACCCAAAACCTGGATGCTAAAGACAATGGGAAGCCATTGGTGGCTCCAAAACAGAAAAAGGGCAACACTAGAACACTGCTCTAGAAAAACCAGTCACATGACGATGGTCTGAAGGAGGAACAAGTAAGAGAATGTAAGTCCTTCCAGGAGGAAGGTGTAGAAAGTAATGGCCAGTACCAGGGCTGTGGACTAGAAAGCAGAGGGGGTGACTAGGGCAGAGATACAGGGGAAACTGAGAACTTGGAAAGACCTTGGGACAACAGCAGAGCTCAGCCATCCTGCCGAGCCCGAGACAGTGCTGCAGAGGCAGCAGTCACTTCAGGGGCAGGTCCCAAAGGGAGCCGGGGAGGGTCACACTAGGCTGCGGCTAGAAAAGTCAGTCCTCTTAACCTACCATCGATCCGGCTCACAAGCTCTTCCAGTGCCTTGACCTTCTTCTGGATCCCCGGCTGTGCGAAGGTGTAATTATCCTGCAGAGGACGCAGAGCCTGCGATGAGCAGTGTCCGGACCAGATGCCTACCGCATCAAGAGCTCATGCAGACACAGGCTGCTGTGCTGTGGTCACTGCTGAGTGTGTGTGTGTGTGTGTGTGTGTGTGTGTGTGTGTGTGTGTGTGTGTGCGCGCGTGCACGCACACGTGTGTGTTACACAGGCCAGGGCACTCTTGGGTTTCATTCCTCCTCTGGCATTCTGAGATAGGGTCTCACTGAGATGGGAGCTCACAGATTAGGCCAGGCACCTCCCAGTGCTGGGAATCAGGCTCAGCTTCACTTAACTGAGCCATGTCCCAGTCCCTGAAGCACATTTAAAAGTAGGCCAAGGGCTGGACCGATGGCTCAGTGGTCAAGAGTGCATACTGTCTTCCAGAAGACCCACTGTGGGTCCTCTGAGCCACCTGAGACTCCAGATCCCAGTGACCCAATACCTCTAGTCTCCAAAACACCTGCACTCCTGTGCACACCCCCACACACAGACATATGATTAAAAAGAAAACAAACACCTGTTTTAAAAGTTCACCAGCGCAGCCAGGCAGTGGTGGCGCACGCCTTTAATCCCAGCACTCTGGAGGCAGAGGCAGGTGGATCTCTGTGAGTTCAAGGCCAGCCTGGTCTCCAGAGTCAGTGCCAGGATAAGCTCTAAAGTCACTGAGAAACCCTGTCTTGAAAACCAAAAAAAAAAAAAAAAGTTCACCAGCACTAACAGCTAGTGACAGGGTCTGGAAAACAAAGCAGTTCATGAACCTTAGCACATGGTAAAAGGCTGGTGGAGCCCTGCAATGTGGTTGGCCCCCAGAGTCTGGGTACACAGCAGAGAGCAAGGGCCCTCTCTGATGACAGCCGGTGTAGCACGGTGGTCGTCTCAGACTCTGGGGGACACTACACCATTGTCGAGCTGTGAAGCTAACGGAAGAGGCCCTGCTGGCCTCTGGGAGCCCTGAGCCTAGCCAGGGCAGCTCACCTGGATCCCGTCCAGCAGCTTGCTCATGCACCAAAAGCTGTCGGCCTCGATGCTTCGCAGCATGTCCTGAGACAAGTTGGTCACATCAAAGTTCTCCACATCCTCTTCTGTAAAACAAAAGGTGAAGAAAATTCAGAGCCTTATCTAGAGACGAAGAGTTTACCGTGTGCCTCATAGTTCCCAGGGATCTCATCGTAACACTGACCAGGCCATTTCTCACTTCAACACAGCATACCTTGCTCTCCCTTGGCATTTATCATTCAGATTTTTAAGAAAATGACCACTCAGGACTCTTGCTCAATAAGCCATACCCAGCTCAACCCAAGGAATGATCTGGAAAATTCTTTGATTACAGACGGTCAGTGAGCTGTCTACCATACTCATAGGACAACCGGATCAGAGCCCTGTTCAACATAGGGATGGACTCCCTGAGACTGGGTGCATGTATAAATGCCTCTAGGACTTAATTCTATCATGCTAGTATTTGTTACTGATACAGGACACACACACACACACACACACACACGGAGTTTTGTAGACAAATGCCATTGAGAAACACTGTATTTCTTTATCACTATCTTAGAGACTCAGCAAGACCAGACATATACCCATAACATACAAAAAGACACCAGGAGTTACAAGAAAGTGTCCATTAAGCTCTTGTAGAGAGGAGAGCAACTTAGAAGTGTCCTGTATGTGCAGGGACCTGCAGAGGTCAGAAGGGGGCGTCAGATCCCCAGGTTTAGTTACAAGCAAGGCAGTTGTGGATACTGGAACTGAACTCAGGTCCTTTGGAAGAGCAGGAAGCTCTCTTAAGCACTGAGTCATCTCTCTAGCCGAAATGTCTACCAACATCTCATGGAAACTCCAGTTAGTAGCAGGGATGAAAAGCTGTCTGGTCCAAGGCTCAAGCAGAGGAGACTAAGAAACCCAAAGGAGAAGGCCAAAGGTATCCCCTGGGGTGTGTGGGAGAGGGGGGCTTCTTTAACATGTCCTTCCTGCCATAGACAGGAGTGTGGTAAGGTGGGCTTCCTCTGCCTCACAAGTCAGGCAGCTGCATATCCGACCGAAGCCATGGAGACATGCCTAGGCCCTCAGCTTGGCACAAAGGGTGGCTTTTCTCCTCAGACCCATCAGCACTGTTTGAAAACAAAGTGTTCCCTGTATGCAGTCGCCATGCCAGGGAGACATGACCAACAAAGTGCCTTCAGAATCCCATCCCTGCATTCCTGGGAATAATGAGAGACCTTTAACCACAGGCTTCTCAACATTTAATAGTCCCTCGAGTCCCATCTGTTTGTATCATGCCACAGCATGTGTGTGTGAAGGCCAGCTCTCTCCTAACATGTAGATCCGGGAATTGAACTCAGGTCCTCAGACTTGGAAGCAGGCACCTTTATCTGATGAGCCATCTCACCCGCCCAAGAACTGTTTTGTTGTAGCTTTTATGAACATCAAGAGCTACTTTGGGACAGACAAGACAGACAATGAAAAACTTTGTCAGATAATAGGATGGCAGAGTTAATGTAGTTAAAGTAAAAGCCTCCACGCCTCACACACAGTAGGTTCACTGCACTTCCTGGGGGTGGGGAGTGAGATAGCTCACTGCACTTCCTGGGGTAGGGTGCTCATAGCTCTTTCTCTGCCTGCTGGGAGGGTGGAGCTGTAGAAAAGCAGCAGAGAGGGGAGGGCTCCGAAGGGCTTCATTCAGCATAAACAATCTGTTCAGAAGGATCATCAGCCCACTTGAGGAAACTCCACACGTAACTGGAGCTCAACAGGAGAGGTGCCAGTCCCTCTGCCCCAGGCGAGGGCTGTGCCTTTGGTTGTCATGAGAGTGTGGCAGCCAGGACTGACTGCAGAGAGTGAGTTTAGGGATTTTTTTTTTATGGCTATTTAAGAGGCAATGCATCCAAAAGGGGGAAACCAAAAAGCTCTTTATGAAAACAAAATTGCCCTCTCTGGGCTTGATGAGAACATGCTATTGATTAGCTGGCAGAATGCACTGGAGCAGGGCTCCTGTCAGTGATTTCCCTCAGAACTCTTAGAGCCTTGGCCCCAGAGCAATCAGTAACATGAGCCACTCCTCAAAGCTGGTGGCTCACTGCTCCAGGCATGTCCCAGGGCAATCCCACTTCTGTGATCAGGTGGGACTCAGTCAACTCAAAGCCACCAACAACGGCAGAGAGCCTCACTGGTTCCCAGTCTGTCTCCCTTACATAAACTGAGCGTGGTGGTGCATGCCTTTAATCCCAGCACTTGGGAGGCAGAGGCCAGCCTGAGCTATACATTGAGTTCCAGGACAGCAGTGATAATAGTGAGACCCTATCTCATAAAAAAAAAAATCCCTAGCACAGTATTTTCTGATCACAGAAGTACACTAGGGCTGGGGAGACAGCGCAGAGGATAAAACGCCTGCACTGTAAGCATGAGGGCCTGGACCTCAGCAGCCGCCTAAAGTCAGACCCTCAACAGTGAGCACTCAGCAGTGAGCACCCCCAATCCCAGCACTGGCAGATGGAGAGGGAACTTGTGAAGCTCACTGGGTGTTGGGTCCAGTGAGAGACCCCATCTCAAAAACAACCCCCACCTCCACACACAAAAAGACCCAGAAGCAACTGAAGTCAACCAGTGCCAACCTCTTGGCTCTATACAGGTGTAAACCCACACTTGCACACTCACACCTACATACACTACACACAAACTAAGAAACAGTAAATGACCATATATTTAAAGAACTAAATACACAAACTATTTTATTTTGAGATGGAGTCTCATTATGTTGTCCAGGTTGGCCTCGACCCTCTGGAATCAAGTAATCCTCCTGCCTCAATCCTCGAGTAATCAAGAGTGTGCATAAATACCATCAGGTACATAAACACCTTCCCAGTGTTTGGAGGGCCATGTAAACACGGTGTTAGTCGCCTGACATTCTCACACCAGGATGACAGCAGATAAGACCATGAGAACAAGATCCTCAGATACAACAGAAAAGGTGGAGGGACCATAGGGCTGTAGCCAAAAGCCAGAGCCTGCAGAGGAGACAGGCTCTCTGACAGGCAGGCAGAGAGACCAGCCAGCCTCAGGCTCTCCTGGAGAAGAGACCACAGGGAGGTGACTCTGTCATTTTGGAGGTACAGAGAAGCTGCTGACCACAGAGGCACCATCACACGGGCCTGTCAATCAGGGCACTGACACTTAACTCAGAATGACACAAAGGTCTGGCTACAGTGTGGGATAGCTGGCAGATGGGTATAAATCTACCCTGGTTAAAATTAATTTAAAAACCCAGGATGTGGCTAGAGAGATGGCTCAGTTAAGAGCACCTGTTGCTCTTGCAGAAGGCCTGAGTTTGGTTCCCGACACCTACATGGAATGGCTCACAACTGCCTGCAATCCCAGCTCCAGGAGATCCAATACCATGTTCTGACCTTCATGGGGACCCATGTGCACATGGTACACACACACACACACACACACACACACAAATAAAACCCAATTCTGGGGCACTGGAGAGATGACTCAGTGGCTAAGGATGCATGCTGTTCTTGCAGAGGACATGAGTTTGGTTCCCAGTAGCCACATCAGATACCTCACAACTGCCTGCAACTCCAGATGTAGGGAATCGACCCCCTAGGATCCACAGGCACCCGCCCTCATGTGCACATAGACACAGAGAGAAACATACACATAATTAGGTTTTGGTTGTGAGCCTAGCCTTTAACAGCTGAGCTATCCCTCCAGCCCTACACACGTAATTATAAATAAAAACAAATCATTAGAAGATTGCCAGTACCCCTCCAGGTTTTCTCTGCTGCCCTGAGGTTCTGGTGCCTCTATTTAGCAACGATCAGTAGCTGATATTAGGTCAGCCTATGGGCACTGGATGGAGGACCCTTGATCACATGACCCCGAACAACATGGAAATTCAGGGTAAGGGGGCAGAGGAAAGGCCAGCATACACACAACCTTCTAAGGCTCTCTAATGATTGCCAGAGACTCACTGCTTGGAGAGAAAGCTAGTCTGATATACTTTGACTTAACAAGCCACACCCACCACTGGGGCACTCACCCACTCAGTGATAGGAAACTCAGCAATGGCTTATCCAGGGAGCACTCACACCCTTAGTGGCAGGGAACCCAGCAGTGGACTCCCAAGGGAGCACTCACCCCCCTCAGTGACAGGGAACCCAGCAATGTACTATCTAGAAAGCACTCACCCCCTCAGTGACAGGGAACCCAGCAGTGGACTCTCCAGGGAGCACTCATCCCCTCAGTGACAGGGAACCCAGCAGTGGACTCTCCAGGGAACACTCAATCCCCTAGGGACAGGAAACCCAGCAGTGGACTGCCCAGAAAGCACTCACCCCCCCAGTGACAAGAAACCCAGAAGTAGACTCCCTGGGGAGCACTCATCCCCTCAATGACAGGGAACCCAGCAGTGAACTCCCAAGGGAGCACTCACCCCCTCAGTGACAGGACAATTTTATTAGCATTTAAGAAAAAAGCAAGAGGGCAAACTGCAAATCCTGGCAGCTTCCAGGAAAGAGCAGATGGAGAAGAGGGGAAGAGCCACTCTGTCTGCAGTGAAGCCTGGCGAGCAGCTATGGCAAAGGAAAGGGGCCTCAGAGAAGACTGAAGACCACCCACCAGCTCAGACCCCAGGAGGGAAGGCTTTGTGAAGGTGTAATATCCACGCAGCAGCAAACTGTACACACAGAGATAGATAGTTCTGTTGTGATGTAGGAAAGCTTCCTTCTTACCCACTCCCCGGGGGACCCCATCAAAGTGTGCCAGGTCCTGACCTCCAGCACTGCAGCTGGTTTGTTCACTCTGGGCTCTGTATAAACGCAATCCCGCTGCATACATCAGCAGCATGCTCCGTCTGTGGCTGAGCACTACCCCACAGCATGAACAGCTGAGAATGGCTAGTGAGTTGTTTTAGCTTTAGTCTGAGAATAAAATTGCTGTGAATGTTCTCGTTCTGTCTTGTAGATAAGGTTTTATTCTCTTTTGAACAAACATCTAAGAGTGGAAGGCAGGATGCTTTGCTTTGCTTATGGTCTCCATCCCAGTCCCTAAATGTACACCTCCACGACTTTGGAGACGGCCTGACACTCACTGGGTGCAGCTCAGAAGTGTGATACCCTGCCCCTTGGTGGCCACACCTAGCACAGCTCCAGCAGCTTTGGAGCATCTTGTGGCAAAGCCATGGGATCTGGGTCTCGTTCTTGTGTGTGCGCGAAAAGCACGGAGGGACATCTTCAGATAGTCTCTGACCTCCAAGCACGAGAGTCTGGTGAGGGAGGGAGAGGGAAATAGTGCCATATCACTTGCTACTGGAGGAAATAACTCAGCCATGGGGTACTTAAGTTCCAGGAGAACATGATGGGCTGGGATGCCTGGGGTCTTAGGGAGGGTTTCCAGGAGGATGGCTTCTCAGGAAGGAGTCACTCAGGAGATGAGGAGGTCGAGCATGATAAGGCTTAACTTAAGGAGCCTGTGGGATGGCTTAGCAGGCAAGGTGCTTGCCCCCAAGCCTGAAGATATGAATTTGATTCTTGGAGCCCATGTGGTCCAGAGAGCTAACTGACTCCTCCAAGTTGTCCTCTGCCCACACCAGACACACACACACTCACAGGCACACACACACTCACACAGACACAGACACAGGAACACACACACACACAGATACCGGCACACAGGCACACAGACACAGGCACAGGCACAGGCACAGGCACAGGCGCACGCGCGCGCGCACACACACACACACACACTCACACAGACACAGACACAGACACAGACACAGACACAGACACAGACACAGACACAGACACAGACACAGACACAGACACAGACACAGACACAGACACAGACACAGACACAGACACAGACACAGACACAGACACAGACACAGACACAGACACAGACACAGACACAGACACAGACACAGACACAGGAACACACACACACAGATACCGGCACACAGGCACACACACACAGGCACAGACACAGGCACATACACACACACACAGGCACACAGAGGCACACACAAGAAAAGGGAAGAAATAAAAAGAAGACCATGTCTTTCTTCCCTTCTTCCTCCCCGCTGGCTTGATGTAGACGTAACAACACAAATGTGTGCTCTGGATCAGAGAAAGAAGCCACCCCGAGGGCGGGGCTGGGATTCTCGGGCCCCAGAGTACTCCTCAGGAGAGAGACAGGCTCCACTGTCCTACTGAAAGCTCTGTCACATGCAGACAAGTCCATCCTGACCGTCTCTGACATACCCTCGGGAATGAGTCAGAGCCGCAGAGCTATCGTACCACACTTCTGAGGAAGATCTCCAATGGAATTCCAGCTGGCCCACTTCACATGGAGAAAAAGAAGCAAAGTGCCTGGATAACTGTTTACTTTGCTGGAAAGAAGTTACATCTTCAGGTAGGCCATGTTGGGCTCAGTGGGTAAGGTAAGAGCTCTTGCTTCTGAGCCTGACAACCTAAGTTCAATCCCTAGAATCCACATGGTATAAGTAGAGACCCAACTCCCATAAGTTGTCATCTGACCTCTACACACTGTGGCATGTACACACAGACATACAAAATAAATAATTCAAATTCACTTACTCAGTTCAGAGTTAGACTGACAGCACTGTGCAGGACCAAAGCCCTTGGCAATGAGTCCAGTGGTACACCACAGTCTCAGGGGTGACCCTCCAGGACTGTATGCTGGGCCTGGTCCCCTGCAGGGGACCCGGTTTTACAGAAGCAGCTGGCTTCTACAGTAAAGACACTGCTGAAGGCCAAGCTAGCTATGGACAATTTCTCTATCAACTCCAAATGGATCCAGCATTGGGTTTGCTGTTTTCATGTCTGTGCAACAAATATGACAAAGCACAAAGCACAAAGCAAGCTAGGGTGTTAACTGGCTAATTTATAAAAGCCAGAGGGCCAGCAAGATGGCTCAGTAGGTAAAGGTGACTGCCACCAAGCCGGATGACCTGAGTCCAAACTCTGAGACACAGATGGTAGAAGGTGAAAACCAAGTCCCACTAGTGTCCCAGGACATCTACAAGACACACACACACACACACACACACACACACACACACACACACACACACACAAACTGAAGAAGTGTTTTTAAAAGGAGTAGAGAGAGATAAAGTGCAATTTATATATGGTGTTGAAATAATCTGCCATTTAACTGCAATAATAATTTTGAATCTCAATTCCTGATACACAGGAAAATAAATTATTAATAAGTGTGTCTGTATGTGTGTGTGTGTGTGTGTCTGATGTGTATGTGTGTCTGTGTGTATGCCTGTGTCTGGTGTGTGTGTGTGTGGGTTCCCTTCTAGGGAGGCTAAAACAAGGACAGTTTGTGGATGGAATTGGACTCTCTTGTCCTACCTTCATCAAACACTGTGTGTGTGGGTGTGTGGTGGGGTGTGGGGTGTGTGTGTGTGTGTGTGTGTGTGTGGGTGTGTGTGTGTGTGTGTGTGTGTGTGTGTGTATGTTTCTTCCAGATGACCCAGTTTGATTCTCAGCACCCACATGGTGGCTCACAACCATTTGTAACTCCAGTACCAGGAGATCCAACAACCTCTTCTGGGCTCCCCCAAATATCAGGTACACACATTGCATTGATACACATGCAACATTGCATTGATACACATGCAGACAAAGCAAACACTTAAATACATGAAATAATAAACGATTTTTTTCAAAACGAGGCATACATTTAAAGAAGATAAACAACAATTGGGTAGAGTTGGCTCCGTGTTTAAGAGCACTTCCTGCTCTTGCAGAGGGCCAGGGTACAATTCTCAACACCCACACTGGGCAGCTATCAAGCATCTGTAATTCCAGTGCCAATGGATCTGCTGCCCTCTCGTGGCCATTGAGGGCAACTGCATTCACATGGTAAACATACAGATCAGCAGCAAGTGCACACACACAATAGTCCATTTTAAAATGTTTTTAAAGAAGAGTAATCAAGGGCCTGGAACTTTGGCATGGAGGACTGTGCAGGCAGTGCCGTCAGACACCAAGGATAAGGCTCTGAGTTCTGCTGTGATCAAGTCACCAGAAGGGCAAGTGCACCAAGGTCGGAGGGTCTGCCCTGGAGTTTAGAAAACCCACTAAGCCACTTGCCCTGGGATCTTCCAACCTGTGAGACGGCTGAGACATCCAGCTTCGAGAGCTGCCGGGGCCTCTGAGACTGATCAGTACGTCACAGCACTTTGAGGGTGGTAAACAGCTTTAATAAGGGAGAGGGGGGTTCGGGGGTTCCGGGGTTCCTTCCGATGTTCCTTTCTGTCGGTTAGGAGTTTTTGCTTGTTTCTTTGATGTTTTGAGACAGGGTTTCACTGTACAGTCCAGGCTCACACTCCTTACACTGAGATTACACGTGTGTGACACCTGATTGCTGCTTCTCATATCTGGATCCTACATAAGCCTCTCTCTGTTCACCTGACAAAGAGAACAGCCCTGGCCCACATGGATTTTCTAAGCATAGCAACCGAGGAGACCCAAGGGGAAAAAGACTCCTTGGCTCCTTTAAAGAGTCTGCTTGGCTGAGCTGGAGGAAGAGGCTGGGGCTATGTATGGGGAAGCCTCAGCATGCTCTCCACAATGACAAGAGCCCAGCAGGGTCAAGACAGGAGAGTGGCGGGAGACCAGGGCCCCAGAGCACCTTCGGGCCCACTCCATCCTCCAGCACCCTCTGCGTGCCCCGACCCTACTCCTGAGACCCAGCATGGATGCTGGTACTTAATCTCAAATGCCCACAGGGGCACTGGGTCTGAGACACATTTGGAGAATCCTAAAAATAACCCAATTAAACCATCAATTCATGAGAACATAAGTACGCCTGCTGGGCTGCTCTTGTGAGGAACCAGGTCTTTGGAGATGAGATTTGTGATCATCTCAAGAGATAAACTCCAGGCCGCCTCCGCTGCCCAGACAGCATTGGGTATAGCAAAGAGCTGCCCGTCTCGTTCTTAGCAAGACACTGCCACCAGCGGCACACTTGGGAAAACAAACAAGCAGATGGATGGCAGATAGGAAAGCAATAGTGCATTCACATGGATATGCTTCTTACCCACATATTCTGAGAGGAAGACGACAAAGAAGGGAGTGACCAGGTCGTTAATCCCCTGGACATAACCGCTGGCGGGGTGTCGGATGGCCCAGATAAAGAGAATTCTTTCAAAGATCTAGGGGGATGAGAAGGGAAGGAGTGTTAATCTTCGCACACACTTCTTTCTCCACTTAGCCACTGCGTCACTTATCTTGGGATTAGTGAAAAGCTGTAGGAAAATTTAAAATGCTGTGGGACCAACGGAGAGAAATGCAGAGAGCTTGGGACACGTGAGCTGCTCTGCTCAACGCTCCACTGTCTTCTCAGTATCAGGTGACCACGGCTTATGACCAGGGGACAACGGTGATGGGGATTACAAACTCAGCCACTTCTCTATTTCTGGGAGGAAGGCATCACACATGCCAGCTCTGCCGTCTGTTTCTAAGCCTTCCTTAATCACTAAGGAATTAGAGGAAGCACCACTCTCCCTCTCCCCAGTGAGAGGGGAAGAGGTCAAGATTCTGTTCTGGGGGCTGGAGACATGGCTCAGTGGTCAAGATCCCAGCACCCACACAGTGGCCCATAACCATCAGCAATTTCAGGGGATCCAATGCCCTCTTCTGATCTCCATGGACAGCAGGCACATGCAGGCAAGATACCCACACACATAAAATAAAATCTATAAAAAAACAAAAACACAATTTTTTCCTGGTTCATTCTGACTAGGACTGCTGACGATATATTTTCACAGGAAGTCCCTCTGTGCATCAGGATTTAACCACACATGTGCTGGGGAAAATCTGATGAGATGAATCAGCAGGTAAAGACCTTCATCACTAAGCCTGACAACCTGAGTTTGGTCCCTAAGACCCACATGGTGAAAGGAGAAAGTGATTCCTGACAACCTGTCCTTTGATCCCCACAGGCATGCCATGGCATGCACCTGCTCCCCCAAAGTAAATTAATGTAATCATACAAAATAAGAGCGGTGGTGGCGCACACCTTTAATCCCAGCACTCGGGAGGAAGAGGCAGGCGGATCTCTGTGAGTTCGAGACCAGCGTGGTCTACAAGAGTGAGTTACAGGACAGCCTCCAAAGCCACAGAGAAACCCTGTCTCGAAAAAAAAAACAAAACAAAAAGATACAGGTCCTGCAGGCTTCTGCAGTCAGGTTTGAGACAGAGAAATCAACCAGCCAGGGACCCCATGGGAGAGTCTTTGGAGTTATAGATGTAACAATTAAAACAATCCAGAGGGTTTGTCGGGGACAGAAAAGAGATCTTCATGGTCCCTTATCAGAGCCCTGCCCTATCCACTCTGCAGTGGCCCCTTCTGCTGTCACTGGGCTCTCTGAGCTCTCCCCTCATCTTCTCTCAATTCAATAACACACGCTCACTGGCTCTGCCCTGGTGGCCATGACCCTGAGGTCTGGCACTTCTGGAGAATGGCTTTGTGCTTTCCCATGTCTCTGTGACACACACAGGGAGATGGCAGAGATGACAGTGAAAACCAGCAAATGGGCCAAAGGATCAGATGGCATCCATAGCACACCCCACCCCAGACAGCCCTGCGGACAGGGACTCCCAAGAAGAATGAGGGAAGGGAAATGTCAGCTTTTGGAGATGCTCACCTAGGGTAGGGACAATGTGAGGAACCTAGGGACACACTGAAGGCTGTCTGATAGCCCCTCCCAGAGAATCTGGTAGGGAAAGCTGGGAAGCACCTGTGCTAACAGCCGGAACCAAGCACCCCATGAAGTAAGCTGGCTTCTGCTTCCAACAGAGCTGCCCATGTGTCCTCTGCATGGTGCCCTTGTTTTAGTGACCCTCTGAAGGAGTCCTCTTGCTCTCTGACCTCTCTGAAGGAAAGGGAGTCCTCTTGCTCTCTGAAGGAAAGGGAGTCCTCTTGTTCTCTGTCCTCTCTGAAGGGAGTCCTCTTGCTCTCTGACCTCTCTGAAGGGAGTCCTCTTGCCCTCTGTCCTCTCTGAAGGGAGTCCTCTTGCTTTCTGTCCCCTCTGAAGGGAGTCCTCTTGCTCTCTGTCATCCATTGCTAAAGAACCCACCCCCAAAAAATGTAGCCCAGGCTAGACCCACTATGTCCTAGGAAACGGCAGGGGTTCCCAGGCCTACTCTTTTCTTGCATCTGTCACCTGTGTCTATCTAGTGCCTGGCGTAGAGCACTTGCCTAGCACATGAGGCCCTGGGTTTGATCCCCAGTGTCACAAAAGCCAAACAACTGTGTCCAGGTCGGCCTTTTGGAAAGACTTAAAAGGGCACTTGCTACTCCCAAGTCTCAACCTCAGTGACTGGCTTTTCATGGTCAACTGCACAGAAGCTGGCTGCTCACATCAGGAGGGCAGTGCTCTTCAGGAGAACGAGTAATGTAGACGCACACACATCATTCTCAGAAGGTGCCAGACGGATGCAAAGTGAAGAAGGAAGCCCGGCTGCCTGGGAGAGCACAGGCTCTGCACTGCAGGAGGAGTCTGCAGTAACTGCCTATCAGGAGAAGAGGATGGACCTGCAGGGTTCCCCACACCTAGCTCCTCCACTCGTGGGGCAAGTTGAACTCAAGCATCTGTCAGGTCTGCAAGCCTTTCAGCATCAGGGCTGGGGTTAGCTCTCTCTGTGTCTCCATTGCTTAAAATGACAACATCCCTGCACACAAGGGCGACTGAAGGGAAGAGTGTGACTTTCCATCTTTGTACCCAGGTTCCACTAGCAGGAGATGCCTGTTGAGCTGCTATTCACATCTCTAAAATGAGAGCTGGCATACAGGAAAGGTAAGGATCTGAACATCTTGAGGTGGAAGGAGGAGAAGGCAGGGAGTGGAGGAAAGGAATGCCTTTCACTTCCCCTGTCCTGCATCTCAGTGGTGAGATAACGACACTCCCGCAATCTTCCCTTTGGTGTTGAAAGCTACGATAGATCCCAGCAGGATGGAACTATGGATACCATCCAAAGCCACGGATTCTTCTCCCACTGTCCCTCTCATTATGAAGAGAACAGAAAGCTCACTTCAAAGCCCTGACACTCCATGTCCTGACTGCAGCACAACTGCAATTGCAGCTGCTGCTCTCACGGGGTGAGCATCCCTGCTCAAGGCAAGTTCAAGGTCCCACTGGAACTTTCCATGTGCTCCATTAACTTGAGGTCTTGAAACATCACTACCAATGTCACCTCTGGATTTAGTTCCAAAGGAACTCAAAACAGGGTCTACAACGTATTTGCATACCAATGCTCATTAATCACCACAGCCAAAAGGGATAAGCAACCCACGTGTCCACAACATGTTACATTCATGTGATGGAATATTTAAAAAGTCAGGGGGTGGGTGGAGGGGTAGCTCAGTGGGCAAAGGTGCGCCTGATGATGAGGCTGATGACCAGAACCCACACAGTGGAAGAAGAAAACCAACCTTTGCCAGTGGTCCCCTGCCTCCACACACATACCATGGCATGCCCTCCACAATATAAACAAATAAAGGCAATAAAAATTTTAATGAAGGCACTTCTGACACTGAACTCAGCAGATCACAAAATGCGAAATATTGTATAATTCTACTTATGTGAGGTGTCCCGGGTAGTTACATCCATAGTCAGGAAACAGAATGATGGTGGCAGAGGAAGGGGACGACCATTTAAAGGGTACTAAACTCACTTGGGAACATTGGAAAATACCTGGAAACATAAGCAATACCCTGAGTTAGGCATTATTCATTACCTACTGTACACAAAAAAAAGGAAGAGGATGGCAAACTGATGCTACATATATTTCGTTACAATTTAAAAAAAAGAATCATCATCCGGCTTTAAAGAGCAAGGCAAACCTAGGAACAGGGTTTTAAGTGGGATGCTGACTGCCTCCAGCTTCAGGGTGAAGCACTACTTGGTAGCCAGGCTGAAGGGCAGGTGAGGATGTGTGAGGTCGTGGACATGAGGCAGCAAGCAGCCACTGGGCCCAGGCAGGAGAAGGACCAGACAGTAGGGATCCACTCACCTCCTGGACAAGGGGCTGCTGGAACAATGGAATGAGAGGATTCGTCCTTGGAATGTCAATGTGAATCTGAAAAACAAAAGCCACAGCCTAGACCTAAGGCTGGAGTGTCTAAGGCATCAGAAGCAAGGGGAGCTCAGAGCACAGAGCCACCAAGAGGAGTATGCCCCCCTGTAAGCCACAGTACAGACAGGAAACGCCCCCAAATAAACCACTTAATCAAAGAGAATAGGCTTCTCACCTAAAGCAGCCCACAGCCCTCCTCTGGTTCTCTGGATTAAATCTGGGATGGTACCTGTTTACCAGACATGACCAAGTATGTACCCCTCTTTCAGGATCTTAGTTATCCACAGTTCATAAAAGTCTGCTGTGGTGGGGCATGCCTGTATTCCCAGCACTCAGAAGGCTGAGGCTGAGTCAGAGGCCAGCTTGGATGATGATGTAAGTTCAAGTCCAGCCTAGACAACCTAGTGAAACCCTGTCTCAGAAACCAGCTGGGTGTGGGTGGAATAGTAATTACAGCATTCCTATAATCCCAGTACTTGCGATATAGAGGCAGGAGTTTGAAGCCAGCCTGGTCCATGTAGTGAGTTAGAGACAAACCAGTGATACATAGCAAGACCCTGTCTAAACAGCAAACAAAACCCACAACTACTGCTAAAAATAAAAAGAGCCCCAACTGTTGCTAAAAACATGCTGGAACAGGACAGGACAGGATGGGACAGGACTGCTCATGGGGTCAGGGAGTGAGGAAAAGCCAGGGCAGCGCCTTCAGTGAGAGTTGAGTCTCTTACTTCTGCCACCTGACAGGTGGCTCTGAGGCCATCCAATGCTCAGGCTCGTCCTAAAGACAGTATCCACATCAAAAGAGGCCACTTTGTTTCTGGGGACAGTCACAGCAGCTGTCTGCTGGCCACCTCCAGCCCTGCCACCTCTTCCTCCTGTGAGGATGCTGCTGGCAGACACTTTGGCAGCAGCCACAGGGCCACACTGATGCCACAGTCCAGAGCAGACTGACCACTTCTGAGCTTTCTGTCTCTACTGTGTGTCCTCATGGGATGGCCTGAGGTCAACAGCACCTTTGTTATCATGGAGCATGTTAGAAGTACAGGCCTCATCTCAAGTCCTACATCTACTGGTAATCCAAGGTGTGTGTGTCTGTGTGTGTGTGTGTGTGTGTGTGTGTGTGTGTGTGTGTGTGTGTATGTGTGTGGTGATTTGTACACACATGAAAGATAAGAAAGCACTACCACTGACCAGTGCTAAAAAACACATCTATCTAAAGATATAAGTAGCACGTACCCATAACCCCAATAACCAGGAAGCTGAGACAGGTTCAAAGTCAGCCTGAGCTACAGAGTGAGAAATCAAGGCCCTGGTAAAAAAAAAAAAAAAAAAAAAAAAAAAAAAAAAAAAATCAGGAGTGGCTCAGCAGTTAAGAGCTCTTGCTGCTCTTCCTGAAGACCCAAGTCTGGTTTTCAGACCCGTGTCAGGCAACTTACAACAGTTTCTAACTCCAGCTCCAAGGATCCAACACCCTCTTCTGGCTTCCATGGCACCTGAACTCAGGTGTGCATATCCACACACATGCACACACATACACATAGATAAAAACAAAAATAAATTTTAAATACACGCACGAGCACACAGGCACGGTAAGTTCTATTTTAAAATCCGGAATCAGAGCTGCTGAATGGGAAGCCGGAAGGGAGTCCCAGACACAGAGGACATCTAACTGCACAGCAGGCCCCAGGGGCACAGACGCCAGCGGCCCACAGACGGCATACCTGTCTGTAGGTGTCTTGGTGATGCTCCTCATTCCGAGAGTCGTAATACTGCTCAATGAAGCCGAAGTACTCCTCCCGCTTCCGCTGCAGGGTCAACTTCCGCCGCTCAGTGTTTGCTGGGAGATAGCCCTAAAGACAACCCCGTCAGTCAGAGGGTGGCTGGAAACCACCAAGGAACAGAAAAAGGACTGCTGAGAGGACGAGACCGGTCCCTTCCAGTTCAGGCCACCTGGTGCTCGCCCTCTTCTGGTTAGTGGACCCTGGGTGGGCAGATGACGGGAGGCTAGCTTCCCAAACATGGTTATTGTTTTGGTCACACTTCACGCTGGGGGCTCCCAGAGTTGGCACCGCTGAGCAGTAAATGTAGGTCAGCGGGAGGCAGCTGGACCCCAGTCACAGTCTCCAAGGGAATTACAGAATCTGTCTACTTCTGTGACGCGTCTTGGTACGGATTACACATTCTTTTCCAGTGTAACACTGGGAACCATAGCTCAGCAAGCTGAACAGAGTCAAAAGGTTGGGACGGAACTGGCAGCCTGGCTTCTGTTCTCACTCCCAGCCTGGATCTCATTCTTACTCCTAAGAATCCTGGTCCCCTTCTGCTTGCCAAATTCATTCTGAGCAGCATCTGAACTTACTAGGAGTGGCTGAGGCACTGGGGGTAGGGGACAGTGACAAGAGCCCCTCCCTCTCAAAGGTAGTGCATTCCATCGTGAGTGCCTGGAGAACTGGATAGGGGCTTGTTGGATCTGGGGTATGCAATAGCAAACAGGCCTTTGGACACCTTTACTAAATGATGGGGCAGGTTTCTGAGGCTGGAAATCAAGCAGTATCTGGTCTGGTGAAAGCAAGCCCAGTCCGGCTCCTGAGAGGCCGGCGAACTGACCCTTCAGAGTGGAAGATGGACTTGGAACACTCAGGAGTGTCGATGCTTGCTCTAGGCCAGCTCTGGGGTCCTCCAGTTCAACTAGATCCCTCCCCACTTTTAAGAAAGTGACACTTTGGACACAGGAGTCAGCACCTAGCTTCCATATATAGCTGGAGGAGTACTCTCACCTGCAGGCGTGGGAATAAACGCTCAAGCATGCGTCTCTTCTGACACAGCCTCACCCCTGCACCAGGCAGCGGTACTAGAGAAGTCTATGGCATAAGATCAACATGCCCAGACCAACCTTGGCAGGCAGAGGGCTGTGTGAGGCCCACGCTTCTCCTCGTGGTGGGTGGAACTCACCGACAGCAGTCTCCAGGTGACCGGTCGAACTTCCCTGGGAACGCCTGGCCAGCTCCACTTCCTCAATTCATCTACAGACAGAAAACAGCCTCACTGAATGAGGTGTTCCCGAAAAGGTTCAAATCAAACCTTGGTCAGATGCCTCCTACCACTGAATATCATCACTACCACGTCACCAGCTAAGACAAGCAGGGAAAGGCTCCAAGCCCACAGTCCCGAGCTGCAGGAGTCCAAGGGCACCTGCACAGTCATTATCTCAGAGAAGCTGTGGCTGTGTGGCCTGGCCTAGCTGCCTTGAGAGGCATCATAGGTTTTTCAGGTTAGAGTCTGGGGCTCCTGAGAGATTGAGTGCTCTTCAGTTCCTGAGAGACCGAGGCACTCCCTCAGGCAGTGAGTGAAGCATTCAGGCCATCTGTGGATCTCTGTTTCCTAGATGTCAGAGAAGCATACAGGAGTCTGACAGGACAACTGGTCTGAGTCATGAATTTTGTGTACCCTATAGAGCTCACAACACAGCTTGCAAACATTGTATCCTGGCAACCACCACTGCATCCTGTTTCTGATAAAGGAATAGAAATTCTGATTGCTTGCAATAAACTTGTCACAGCCCCAGTCCTGCTGTGATCCTTCCAACCCAACCCGGTCAAGATTCGTTTCCCATTGTCCACATCAGGTAACCTTAGCCCAGTAAGTAAGCACTGGTACTTACCAGTGTGGGCCTGTGTGAGAATCCCTGGAGGGAGCAGAGGTCTCGGAGCTGGAATAGGAACCCCCATGGTCTGCACGAGGACCCCAGTGACAGCCACATTGACTCTGGTCCCTAATCTCTGATAACAGACTTCTATCTAAACACCTGTGCACCACACTGAGGGCTGCTAGAAAGTAAAAGAAGGCAGAGGGTAGAAGCTCCCATCCTCTGAGGACCCCAGTCACCATAGCGCCTACCTTGCCCAGGGCTTTGGGGAACTCACCTAAGTCGGTGTTGTGGCTGGAAAGTAGCTGCCGGAACTTTTCTAGGCGCGTTTTCTCCCGGACTGTCATTGGAGGGGCCCCAGAAGCATTCTGGTCTGAGATCCGGGCAACAAGGGGGATGATGGGCCGGAGAGGGAGAGACTGCTGTTTGTGGAGTGAGTTCCTCAGGCACGTGTCACCTGAGGGGATTTGAAGAAAGAGAGAACTGTGTGGGATGGTCATGGATCAGACACCCTAGGGCCTGCTTGGGCAATGGTGTGGTGCCTTCTCCAGGGCAAGGGTTGGGCCTGGGACACTGCCTGAGGATCCAGCTGAGGGTCCAAGAGAGAGAGGGTGAGGCCCAGCAGGGCTCTGCTCCCATGCAGAGGACAGCTGTGGCCAACTGACTGCCCCGGGCCCAGCAGGCACTTCTGAGAATGTGTGTGGTGAAACCAAGGAAATGCCTCCTTCTACTCTAACCTGGACCTCTCTGCAGTGCCTCAGGGGAAAGTGGTAGTCACCCAGCCTAAGGCAGACAGTTCTTCACCCCTCCACACACCAGAGTGCGTGAAAGGCTAAGCCTTGACCCTGCAGAGCACACTGGCTGCCCTCAACCCTGCAGAGCACACTGGCTGCCCCAACCCTGTAGAGCACACTGGCTACCCCAACCCTGCAGAGCACACTGGCTGCCCTCAATCCTGCAGAGCACACTGGCTGCCCTCAATCCTGCAGAGCACACTGGCTACCCTCTAGAGCCTGGCACAGCTGCAGCCTGCCCTTGGCCCACCAGGAGCCAGCCCTTCGAGGCAGGTAGGGAGCTGTGGCTTCAGGCCACCCAGTGCTGTGCACTGCTCCTCTGTACTCCACAACCCCACTCAAATGAGCCAGCTCTGGACTCTGCTGTGTCACCTCTGAAGTAGTGTCACCACTGGGGAAGGGGGACAGTGCAGGACTAGTGCTCACTTGCTACGCAGAAGGCGCCGTGCTGTCCATTTCAGCATGTTGTCTCTTGTGACCCCTATGATGCCTGCTAAGAATATTTAGTTCTTTTACAGAAGAATGAACTCAGGCTGGGGAAGTGGAGGGGCTACCTTGGGACTGTCTGACTCCTCCACTCTAATTAATTGCCACAAAGAATTTTTGAGGACAGCCCTCTAAAGGCTGGGTCACATTCTTCAATACCTGGGCTTTAAAATGCAAACATTAAACACTAAACAGGAACTAGCCATCATTGCAGAAGTGTTCGACAGCTGTCACAAGGCACCTGGCTGGGACGCCCACGGTGACAAGTGGGGCCTAGAAAATGCAAGTCTTGCAGCAAAGCTTAGACAGATGGGCATCTCTGGCATCCGCTGTTTACAGACAGATGTATACTGAGGGAACCTCCATAGGGGGACATGTGGGGGACCCGGGTACACAGGGTAGCCTGCAGGGATCATGGCAGGGGCCTTCCTGTCACTGGGAACCTCAGTCATAGCTTCAGCCACCTGGTCAATCAATTCGGAATGCCTGTCTCAGACTGGCAATGTGGGTTCAAGCTGGGCCCTGTGTCAGCAAAGGCAAATGACAGAATTACAGCAAAAACCCTACAGCCAAGCTTCATGGCCTCGGAAACTCAGAGACTGAGGCAGGCCACACTCTGGGGCTTCGACATCTCCATCCTTTATGCCCATGACCTGTGAGCCTTTTTAAATGTAACCAGGACCAGACTCAGATGTAACCTGTGCAGCTCAGAGTAGCCGATTTGCTTGCACAAAACCCTTTGGAGAACATTAAGCACAGCAACGAGTCCTTAAAGGCACAGGAAGTCCCCAGACATCCAAAACCACCATCACCCCCAATAGTAACTGAGGCCACTTTCCCAGATTAAGAAAACAAAACAGCCAGGTGGTGGTGGCACGCACCTTTAACCCCAACACTTGGGAGGCAGAGGCAGGTGGAATCCACCCTGTGAGTTCAAAGCCAGCCTGGTCTACAAAATGAGTTCTAAGACAGCCAGGGCTGCACAGAGAAACCCTGTCTGGGGGGAGGGGGAGTAGGTGTGGGGATGGGGATGGTGGTAAGAAAACAAAACAAACAGATCTTTCCTGTCACCTGGTGGGCAGTGACTGTTAGGTAGCTGTGACCTGGTCCTGCAACACAGCTTTTTGCATCACAGAAACAGGGAAAAGGCCTCCAGAGGTGGGCAGCTGTTCCCCAGGGCTGAGGAGGTAAACCATTTGTGAACTCAGTCACTGACACCTTTAAATACATTTAGTCAGTACTTGTAAACCTGACCAGGCCTAGAGCAATGTGAAACAACCTCCCCAGGGGAAGCTGTGGGGAAAGGGAGGAGGGGGGGAGGAGGGAAAGGGAGAAGAGGGGAGGAGGAGGGAAAGGGAGAAGAGGGGAGAAGGCAGAGAACGTCTATGCTAGGAAGTAAAGGCCCAGTGGGAAGGGCAGGGACAGCCAGCGACTGACAGGCTTGCTGGTGTTCTGCTTCAGGCTTGAGGGCTTTTCTTTAATTGTTTTGGTGTTGTTTTAAATTGTCCCATGAAGATCTGTGCAGGAACGTCTTTTTCTCTGGCTGCCCTCTACTGAGAGGCTGAGGCTACGGGGGCAGGGGACTCACTGGAGTTTCGGGACAGCTGGGCGTCGCTGCTGGACTTTATGACCTTGTAGCTGGCGGGGACGTCTGATGATGTCGACTGCGAACGTTCAGGTTTTACTCTCAGCTTGCTGTGGTTCTCTAGGACTTGGGCCGCAGTTGCCAAAGCCACTTTCGAGTTCAGAGTTTGGAAAGGAGGTGAGGAAAAGTCCTCTTCCTCGTCATCACCTATGTCCCAGGCGTCACTGGTATTCCTGGCAAACTCGTGGAAACTGGAGGCCTTCTTGTTCTTCAGAGGAACTGAGTTCACTTTTGACCGTTCTTTGATGAAGCTTCAAGAAAGGAGACGGCGTTACCAAGCAGTGTGACACACCTGGCCACCTTTATTGGCATCTGTCATACAATTACATGACCAACCACCTGCCCGTACTCAGAGCAAACTGCCCATAGCCACTACTTATCACAGATGCAGAGCCAGGGCCATCGGCTCTCCATACTCTTATTTCCCAGCATCCTCCAACTCATGAAACCATCCGGACAGTCTAAGCTAAGAGAAGTGAGGCAGCCTCGCCATGCTCATAGCTGCCCCATAGCCCCTCCTGGTCACTGTGCCCTCAAGGTTCCAGGTAGTAGGGCACAGTGACCACCCACTACCCACCCACTGAGTGACAAGGTGGACCACAGCCTGCCCTCCACCCTGGCCCCACCCCATTTTGGACACACATAAGCAAGAACTAAGCCTTAACAGTAGAATTCACTGAGGTGTCAAGTGGATTTGTTAAGCCATCATAAGCTAGAGTTGTTGCTGGAGTAAGATGCAGGCTTGCTGGGGGGCGTGGGGAGGAGGGGGGTAATGTTAACTGTCCAAACACAGAGCATTAAGTCTCAGAATGAAAAGGCTCCTCTGTTTACTCTGCCAGCCTAGAACAAAGTCTGAGCTTGGTGCTGCTCCGGGCTTTCCCCCACTTTTAAAACACAATTAGCTTGAGACTTGTGAAAGTCTGCAATACATGGGAACTGGACCCCAGTGGGGTGAAAACATCACTCACCCCTCAGGGAGGCATGGCCACTCCAGACAGTAAAGCAGGCTGTGTCAGAAAAGCTACTGTCCCCATTCCTGTGACATTCTCTCCAGGGGATCCCACACCCCTGACCTCCTCAGGCCCCTCAACTAATGAGCACATGCTACCACACACAGCCATACACACACAAAGACACACAGCACAAACACACACAGTCACACGCAGAGACATGCATGCACAGCCACTACAGTCACACCACACACAGCCACACATACAGTCACGGCCCCCCCCCCCCCCCCCGCCCCCCCCCCCCCGTCACACCACACAGCCTCACACGCACACACATACAGTCACACCCCCACACCACCACACACACACACACACACACCCACACCCCCACACACACACAGAATTAATAATTTTGGGGCTAGAGAGAGCGCCCAGTGGTTAAGAGCACTAGCAGAGGACCCAGGTTCTGTCCCCAGCACCTACATGGTGACTCACAACCATCTGAACTCCAGTTTCAGGGGCTCTGATGCCCTCTTCTGGCCTCTTCAGTCACCAAACACAAAAAAATATGGTGCAAATACATTTATGGAGGCAAACACTCATACACATTAAAAAAATTAGAAAATGAATAAAAAAAAACCCAAGAAAATCCAGGTGGCAATAAAAACACAATAAATCACACATCTGAGTGAGACTTAGTGAAGGACATTTTGAAAAAGAGTGGCCATGGGTTATATTCTTCAGAACACAAAAATGCCATTGTTTTATCATTTGACAGCTCTGCCCTGTTTCACTGCAACAGCGGTTCTACCTACAGAATTGTTTTGGTTGGGGGGGGCGCTAGGCCCTACCCCAAAGGAAACCTAAGACTCTGATGGAAGGCCTCACCATCCAGGGGGAACAGAGAAGATATGTGACAGATAAGGTTTTATTGGGGGGGGCGGGTAGGGGAGGACAGGTGGGAGAAGGGAAATGGGACTGTCATGTAAAACAATCCTGTTCCTAATTCAAATAAAAAAAATTGGAAAAAAAAAAAGAATTGTTTTGGTTGACATACGGTCCATACATGTTTAGGAGGACATGTAGAATAGAATTATATTAGAAAAATATGGCATTGGTTAACTGATGTAAAGTGACATTCAAACAAACCCAGTCCCCTCAAAGCCTCATATGGCTTTATGTGAAACCGTGCTGTGACCTCGGAGTGGGACCAGCCACACAGTATCACTTAGAAGCCTGTCATGCCTGCAAGTGGCTGATGGGGCTGCTCAGCAGTCAGTAACACTGGTTTTATTTGAGCTATAAAAATTATTGCAGGCGATATTTCCACTAATAGTAATAATTTAGCAAATTGGAGCCAGTATCCACAGAGAGGAGATGACTTAGTGTGCTCATGCAGTTTAGACAATTAAAGACCGGATATAGCGGCTTCTAGTATGATGGAGATTAACCACGTGGTGATTAATGATGGTCTGCGGCTGAGCAGAGAAAGCAATCAAAGCTTCCAAATAAAGGTGCTAAAACAAGGGCGATAAATGTTTTACAGCAACAATCTGGGCTTGTAAAACAGTCTGGTGCTCCACTCATGGTGCCCCCATGTTTGAGAATATTAATACTGAACCAGCACATACCATGAGAGAGGGAAGCCATTAATCAGAGCCAATTCATTCTGATTTGTGAAGCCAGGTAAAGTAGACAGACAGTATGACTCTGTGAAGTGACCAGGAAGTATCCTGGGTTTTACTAATATTAACAAGTGAGAAAACAAAGCTATTAAGAGTTTGCTGGGCCAGGCGTTGGTGGCGCACGCCTTTAATCCCAGCACTCAGGAGGCAGAGGCAGGCAGATCTCTGTGAGTTCAAGGCCAGCCTGGTCTCCAAAGCGAGTACCGGGATAGGCTCCAAAGCTACACAGAGAAGCTTTGGAGCCTATCTAACTAAGAAAAGAGTAAAAGAGAGAGAGAGAGAGAGAGAGAGAGAGAGAGAGAGAGAGAGAGAGAGAGAGAGAGTTTGCTGGGCAGTCTGGGACATGGTCATATTCCTGAAGATCTGCCCTCAATGCAGAACAAGGGGAAACTCAGTTGATGGGCACAGTAAAGTGAGTGACCAGGACAAGCATAAAATCTGAGCATAAAAGTGTACCCACTACCTGTAGAATGGGTGGATGGTAGATTTACATGTTAACTACCTGTCTGGATGGGTTCTACTGGGATGCTTTTGTGGCAGTAACAGAATACTCAACTGCAATGCTCAAATGGCACAGAGCATGCTGTTGGGCCACTGGGCGGACATCTCCAGTCTCTGGCCTTTCCCTAGGAGCTGCAGTCATTTGTCACAGCCCTGGGCATCTCACCTCACTACCAAGTTCAAAAGGAAGCAGGAGGCAGGTGCATATCTGCTCAAAGTGCCTCCTTCATAGAATTCACAAATTTCATTCATACTGTCTGTCTCATTAAAAGAGCTGTCATGGGGCTGGAGAAAAGGCTCAACTAAGAGTAATTACTGCTCTTGCAGATGACCTGACTTGACCCGGGTCTGGTAGATGACCACTGCCTGTAACTTCAGCGTTCCATAGGATCTAATCCTCTCTTCTGGCATGCTTGTGTACCCGCGTGCACGCGCGTACACACACACACACACACACACACACACACACACACACACACACACACACTTAAAATAAGATAAAAATCTTTTTAAGTTTCCATGAACCCCACTCATTGGTAAGCCCACCCTAAACTAGTCACTGGGGTTGTTACCACAAGACTATGGACTAAGGCTTAAGCCAATGCTAACACCTTCCCTAAGAGCATGGCTGCTTACTCAACATCCGAATAAAATTGGGGCTCTTGCACAAGGAAGCAGTGGGGGTGGGAAAGACTGTCATGTCAAGTAGGTTATCAACAGTACCTGCCACACCATCAATGCACCAGTGCCGACAGGAAACAAAATTCACACTATGCAATGGTGTAACATTACAGAAAATGAAGCACTTAAGAGTGAGTGTGTGTGTGTGTGTGTGTGTGTGTGTGTGTGTGTGTGTGTGCGCGCGCACACACGCTCGAGTGTGCAGAGTGCTAGCCTATTATGTGCAAGGCCCTAGAGAGGAGGAGAGGGAGGAAGGGGTAAAGGGAGAAAGGTTTAAGGCATATGTTGGTGCATGCTCATAATCTCAGCCCTTGGAAAGCTGAGGCAGGAAGTATCAGACTGCAAAACCAGCTTGGGTTACACAGTAAGAGCCTGTCTCAAGACTCTTCCAACCCTTCATGGGGCTGGAGAGATGGCTTAGAGGTTAAGAACACTTGCTCTTACAGAGAACCTGAGTTTGGTTCCCAACACCCACATGGTGGCTCACAACTGCCTGCAACTCCAGTTCCAGGGATCCAATGCTTTCTTATGCATCCATATGGTACATACATGTATACGTTCATATATATACATACACTCAGGCAAACACACATACATACAAATTAATTTAAAAAAAAAATTCCCCTTTGCCAGGTGGTGGTGGTGGCGGCGGTGCACGCCTTTGATTCCCAGCACTTGGGAGGCACAGGCAGGTGATCTCTGAGAGTTCAAGGCCAGCCTGGTCTACAGAGTAAGTTCCAGGACAGCCAAGACAACACTGCGAAACCCTGTCATGAAAAAAACAAAAACAAGGGGCTGGAGAGATGGCTCAGCGGTTAAGAGCACTGACTGCTCTTCCAGAGGTCCTGAGTTCAATTCCTGACAACCACCTTTGAATGAGATCTGGTGCCCTCTGCTGGCATGCAGGCAGAAGACTATATTCATAATAAATAAATAAAATCTTTAAGAAAAAAAACAAAAACAAAATGGAAAAAAAAAAAAGCCTGCCCCTTTGGCCAGGATATTGGTACACGCCCTTAAAATCCCAGCACTCTGGAAGCAGAAGGCGGTTGATCTCTGTGAGTTCCAAGCCAAACTGGTTTACATAGTGAGCATCTTCACAGTGAGAAGATTGCTCCTGACCACCTGTGCCAGAGAAGCAGATGGAAGGGCCGGACAGGAAGCGTCGCTTCGGCAACTAGAGGAGGCAGTGGTGAGGAGACTTACTTTTTGGTGAGCCGAGGATCCAGAGGAGGGTGCTGAGCTCCATACACAGGCTGGATGCTGAAAGCAGGGGACACAAATTTAGTGAGGAAGCTAAATGTCCAGTCGAGAACCTGATGTCACACCAAACTCATGGGACTTGGAAAAATAGCCTGCTTCCAAGAATGACACCTAAGCCATTCCAAAAGACAGTAGCCTATCCTTCCAGATGGCCATAGGTGATGCTCGGTTTCCCTGGGGAAGTGTCAGTGCCATGGCATTCCCGCCCAGCAGGCAGTCCTATCTAAAGCAGCCCAGGCCCAGCAAGATGCTGTGGCTGCTAAGTGCTTGCTGACCATGTCCAAAGACCAGTCTGACTGGGATTACAGCGCATCTGTAATCCCAGTATTCTCACAGCAAGACGGAACAGGACAGAGAATTGTCTGAAAGGTCACAGGTCAGCTAGCCAGGGATAACCAGCATGGCAGGACAAGAGACCCCTTTAATCCCAGCACTCAGGAGGCAGAGGCAGGTGGATCTCTGTGAGTTCAAGAGCTGGTCTACAAGAGCTAGTTCCAGGACAGCCCAAAACCCAAAAAAAACCCCTTTTCAAAAAAAAAAAAAAAAAAAAAAATAAAAGAGGAAGAGGGAGGAACCTCCTCAAAGTTCCTTTGACTGCACATGCTCCATAGCACCATTCCCCAACACACAGTAATAATAAATGACATAAAATAATCGAGGCCACATGAGAGACCTCGAGCTTTAGAGCCAGTGAGAGGAGAGTTCCAATGCCACTGCTGTCAGCCAACACCACGGTGAACCGGCAACATACTTTCTCACCGTAAAATGAGGACACCGAAGGCAGTAAAGCAACAGCATACGTCAAGAGAAGGGTGGATTACACTGTGCCTAAGTGTTTCTGTTGTGTGACTTCCTGGGAAGAGGTGGACAAGCATCTCTCCTCCTGAGACAGGACACCAACAACAGACCAAAGAAACCACTCCACCCCAGTCCAGCCTGGAGAGCCAGGGAGTCGCCTGGCATCACTCTAAGGCTGCAGCAGCAGCATTGACAGCACCCTAGCATGGACCACTCCTGAAAGCTGCATACCTGCAGCTCTCTGCACAACTGGCAGGCTGCTCAACTGGAAACAGTTCCCTTTTCCTGGCAACGGCTTACTGGTTTTTTAAGTATGGGAGGCACTTGTGACTCCTGCAACTTTCTTACCTTTTGAGAGTTTGTAAGTTGTGTACTTCCCAGAGTTTTAAGATCCCCATGGCTCCAGGAGCCATTGCTTCTGACGGGGAAGCACACATAGCAACATCTATTAAGATCTGCTTTAATCTACGTTAAAAGCCTCTTTTGCATGAACTTCAGTTCTGCTTTAAAACAAACAAACCTGCAATGTGGCCATCTCTAGCAGGAATGAGATATTTATAACCTAAGACCCAATACTTTCACTCTTAAATATCTAACTTTAAAAATAAAACCAGGTATGGTGGCACACATCTTTAACCCCAGAATGCAGGAGGCAGAAACAGATGGATCTCTGTGAGTTTGAAGTCAGTCTGGTCTATATAGAAAGTTCTAGGTCAGCCAGAGATACATGGAGAGATCCTGTCTCAAAAAAAAAAAAAAAAAAAAAAGGTTTATTTGTATGTGCATGGGTGTTTTGCCTGCATCTGTGTCTGTGCACCACTTATGTGCCTGGTGCCAAGGCAATGGTGGCTCAGAGCTTGTGAGAGTGGCAATGACTAGTCTAACTTGAAGCCAAAGCCACGAGAGGAAGCCAGCCCATGCCTGACACTACCTGGTTGTCCAGGAACTGGAAGGTGGATGGCTCAGAGACCTATGGTAAAACCAAAAGTCATTGACACCTAATGATACTCTGCTATACTCATGGGTCGGTGCCTAGCCCAGATGTCATCAGAGAGGCTTCCTCCAGCAGCTGATGGGAGCAAATGCAGACAGAGACCCACAGCCAAACTTCAAACGTTAAGCAGAGCACAGGGAACCCCAGGATAGAGGGGGAGGAAGGATTGGAGGAGCCAGAGGGGTTGAGAACATGACCCACGGAATCAACTAGGCAGGACTGATAGGGACTCACAGAAACTGAAGTGACAATCACGGAGCCTGCATGGGCCTGCTACAGGTCCTGTGCTATGCTTGTTTAGCGTGGGATGTTTGTACAACTTTTATCAGTGGTAGGGGGGTGTCTCTGGCTTTACTGTCTGCTTGTGGGACCCTTTCCCTCTTTCTGGGCTGCCCCATCCTGCCTTGATATGAGGGTTTGTACCTAGTCTTATTGCATCTTGTTATGCTGTGTTCAGTAGATATCACTGGGAGGCTGCTCTTTTCTGAAGTGAAACGGAGGAGCAATGGATTGGGGGCAGAGAGGAAGCAGGGGCTGGAGGGAGTGGAAGGAGGAGATGCTGTAGTCACGATGTATTGTATGAGAGAATAATTTTTTTAAAAAGTGGGTCTTCCCTAGCCGGGTGTTGGTGGCACACGCCTTTAATCCCAGCACTCAGGAGGCAGAGGCAGGTGGATCTCTGTGAGTTTGAGACCAGCCTGGTCTCCAGAGTGAGTGCCAGGATAGGCTCCAAAGCCACAGAGAAACCCTGTCTCGAAAAACGAAAAGAAAAGAAAAGAAAAAGAAAAAGAAAAATGGGTCTCTCACAGGTGTGCCCAGCCACTTGGGTTTAGTGGATTCCAGACGCAGTCAAGCTGACAACCTAGAATAGCCTCACAGGTGCAGAACTGTAGCATAATGGCTCCATATATTTTGTAAAGCTAATAAAATTAAGCCGTGTTCACGTATTTGCATCTGTGATACGGGACACACCAGGGGCAGTGCTTTGGTGGTGAGGCTGCAGACCAGGGCAGGCCTCAGGGAAAGCGTTCTCCTTCAAACCTTGTGACTTTCTGAGGTAGGGGCTTCTGTAGGCATCACCTTTATAGGACACAAACAAAGCAATCCAGAAAGCCTGGAGAGGCTTGGCTCAGCCCAGTGGTTGGTGAGCAGGCTGTGGGTGGGACCAAACACGTGAGAACTCAACCCAGCACACACTGCCAGGAGACCCTGGCTTTCTTCCTCCCTCCCTATTTATAGTTTACTCCTCACCCAAGGTTTAGTAAACACCACAGGTTTACCAAGTCTCTTTTTCAGACTCTTTTTTTTTTTTTTTTTTGAGACAGGGTTTCTCTTTGTAGCTTTGGAGCCTATCCTGGCACTCGCTCTGAAGACCAGGCTGGCCTGAAACTCACAGAGATCTCCTGCCTCAGCCTCCTAAGGAGTGCTGGGATTAAAGGCATGTGCCACCAGCACCAGGCAGGATTTATTTTTATTCATGTATCTGCCTGTGTGTCTGTGTGAGCAAGTATGTACCACATGCATGCAGTGCTCTCAGAGGCCAGAAAAGGGCATAAGACCCTCTGGGACTAGAGTTACAGATAGTTTGAACAGCCGGGTGCACAAGTTGGCTTTTCTTACCAGTCACACTAGGAGAAAGAGAGGTATTCAGGGGTCAGGGTGACTCCTTGGAAAAACTGATTCCTTGTCCCCAACACTGGCTGCCCCTGGCTGGGAATATGAGGAGTCAGACCACAAAAGGCCAACACTAGGCCCCTTGTAGCTTCAAGGAGTCCAGGTAGCCTGTGGAAGCATCTCGCAAGCCATGGCTGCCCAGCCAGCACCAGACTCCACACAGGTCCTGATGTGATGGACACTTCCTTATGTCCAAAACATGGCAGCAGTAAGCCGGGCAGTGGTGGCTCACACCTTTGATCCCAGCACTCAGGAGGCAGAGGCAGACCCATCTCTGTGAGTTTGAGGCCAGCCTGGTCTACAGTTCCAGGACAGGTTCCAAAGCTACACAGAGACACCCTGTCTTGAAAAACAAAACAAACACACAAACAAAAGCAGATAGTTTGAACCTCATGTGGGTGCTGAGAACTGAGCGGGCGCTCTGTGGGAGCACTGAGCGCTCTTTATTACTGAGCCGTCTCTCCAGCCAAGTTCACCAGCATTCTGCTCCCTCCCCCCCTTTTTTTTCTTTCTGCTTCTTATGACAGGAAATCCTTAAGATGTTTTCAAATAAGAACGTGGGTGGATCAATCATTTCCGCATGATACCCTTTTCACTTTTTAGAGCGGAATATAAGATGTTAGATATCATTGTGGCAGTTTTAAACAAAAGTGTCTACACTGTTTCTTTTAGTTCAGAGGGAATCTGCTCCCATGTGAGTCTGAGTTCTGGACATTCTGGACCCTTTCAGCTGTAAAGGTCAACTCCCTGAACCTCTCCGGAAGATTGCAAAGTGATTCATCCCATAGGCTGCCACAGAAGCACCAACCCTAAAGGCTATGCCGGTGTGTGTGTTCCTGGCATTTTCTAGGCAGAGGAGGACAGGAAAAAGCCTAGAGGTACCAGAGTACTGGGAAATTCTGGCTCACAGAGAGGGAGGGGAAGACTTAGACAAAAACAAAAATTAAAACACAGCCACAGATACATGGGGGGTGGGGCATGGGTTTGCATTTTAAAATTTTCAGATTCTCGGACTCCAGCATTTGAACTCTCAAGTCCAAAGCCCTCATGGTCAAACATTAAATGCCAAACAAGGCAGGAGGCTCCCACCAGGTCAGTTAGGAGAGCTGCCTGGATAAAACAGTAAGATCCTTGGATTCTCTTAAGAAAAGGCAGACCTAATCGTCACAGGCCTGAGGGCCAGAGGCCATCAGCTAAGAGGAAGAAGCTCTTCCGCTCACAGAAGACTTTTTCAAAGATGTTGGCTGATGAGCAGGCACAGCCAGAAAGGCTGTGATAAATGACAGCCTCGCAGAAGCATCGGAGCCCAAACTGAATTTGTTAGCATGTTCTTGAACTAGACCATGATGTGTCTGAAGTGGGGAAACTTTGTATAATAAATCAGTTTGCTGAATCTCAACAAAGACAGGTGGGAAGTTAGCAAAGGAGAAATGAAGATTATCACAGCTGCTGGACAAAGACAGTCTACAAGAGCAGGAGAGCAAAGGTGTCCATTGCTGACTGGAGAGATGGCTCAGTGGTTCATAGTGCTGAC